CACTGCACCACCACCACCACCACACCACTGCCACACCACCACCACCACCACCACCACCACCACCACACCACACCACACCACCACCACCACCACCACCGTCACACACACCACACACACACACACCACACCACACACACACACACACACACACACACACACACATATTGTTATTGTTATTGTTATTATTATTATTATTATTGGGTTATTATTATTATTATTATTATTACCACATTAATGTTACGTTGTCTTTTCACAGGTTGGTTACAGTGCTTGTGCCGTGGTGAAGGAGGTCAAGTAAGACAAACCTGGCGATCATATTCCATCCTGGCGATCATATTCCAACCCTGGCGATCATATTCCAACCCTGGCGATCATATTCCATCACCCTGCGATCATATTCCAACCCTGGCGATCATATTCCAACTCCTGGCGATCATATTCCAACCCTGGCGATCATATTCCATCCCTGGCGATCATATTCCAACCCTGGCGATCATATTCCAACCCTGGCGATCATATTCCAACTCCTGGCGATCATATTCCAATCCTATGATCATATTCCAACCCTGGCGATCATATTCCAACTCCTGGCGATCATATTCCAACCCTGGCGATCATATTCCAACCCTGGCGATCATATTCCAACTCCTGGCGATCATATTCCATCCCTGGCGATCATATTCCAACCCTGGCGATCATATTCCAACCCTGGCGATCATATTCCATCCCTGGCGATCATATTCCAACCCTGGCGATCATATTCCAACCCTGGCGATCATATTCCATCCCTGGCGACCATAGCCTGACTTTTCCCATCGTAATCACTATAAATCCTCACTACTTGAGCCATAGTTTCAAGATAGTGGACTAATGATACACTCAGAGCCTCATTGGTTAAGGGCCTCAGTGGTTAAGACTCAGGTAACTTGAGTCTCTAGCTTGGTAAGTGCATAGTGAAGTGCATAAGTTAGTGTGTAGTGAGAGATCTGAGGGTGATAGCTGAGGGCCTTATGTTAAGTGTGTCTAAGTTGGAAGTGTTTTGTGTGAAGGTGTGTGTGTGTGTGTGTGTGTGTGTGTGTGTGTGTGTGTGTGTGTGTGTGTGTGTGTGTGTGTGTGTGTGTGTGTGTGTGTGTATGTGTGTGTGTGTGTGTGTGTGGGAGGTGTGTGTGTGTGTGTGTGGTGTGTGTGTGTGTGTGTGTGTGTGTGTGTGTGTGTTAAAAGTTATTAGGGAAAATTTTAAATATTTGCAACATGAAGATAAATTACTGGTTGAGTTGTTACAGAATGAAGCCATTAAGTAGTTCAGTAGTTAATAGGAAAATTTTTCACCAATTTGGAGAGGAGATGCGAACACCGAGAATGTAATTACCCGATTAATGATCGTATTAAGTAGTTGAGTAGTTAAGGACACCATCTTAATTGCCCTTGTTAATGGTGTCCACAGCAGGGTGTTCCATGCTAGCCTCGTTACCAATTTGAGAAGGAAATGTGGACACGGCGCAGGATTCGGACATGAGCACAAATTGGGACATGGGTGTGAGCGGAGTGGGGTGTAACGAGCCAATTAGTGTCGCTCCCTCAAATGACCCCATCCATCAGGTCGGCCACCTCTCTCCCTCCCTCTTTCCCTCCCCCGTTCTGTCTCTTTCCCCCTCCCTTCTGTCCCCTTCCTTACCTCCCTCTCTTCCCCAAATTCCTCCTGCTCCCCATCTCCTCCCTCCCCACCCTCCATCCCTCCTTCCTTCCTTCCTCCTCCTTCCCTCCTTCCCTCCCCTTCCCTTCCTCCTCCTACCTCACGCTTAAGCAATTTATTAATACAAAGGAAAAATGAAAGTAATAATAATGAACGAGAGTTAACTGAAAAGTGTATAAACTTGGGTTAGGTTAGGTTAGTGTGCGGTGGTCGAGTAGATACAACACTTCCTATACTAAGAGTCGACTGTCCCACTTCTCTCTCTCGTCCATAGTTTATTTCTATCTATCTATCTATCTAGCTATCTATCCACGTCTCTCTCTCCCCCATAATTAATCTTAAGAAACATTCCCCACCTTCCCTTCACTTCACTCTTTCCTCACTTCACTCTCCCCACCTTCCCCACACACTAAACAATACACCTCACCATCAGGTTAATTACTCACACCTGTAAACCATCTTGGGCCGGGGAGACATGAATATACACCAGGTGTCTCAGAGAAATGTTTATAGCATCCCATACACAGTTAACTGGAGGTCGTGTGTATGTTTGGTGTATAACATTGTTGTGGTTTGTTGATGTGTGAGTTTGTATACAGGTGGGACGATGTTGTGGTGTACAGGTGTGGTGGTGGTGGTGGGTGGTGGTGGTGGTGGTGGTGGTGGTGGTGGTGGTGGTGGTGATGGTGGGATGTGATGGTGATAGTGATGGTGGTGGTGGTGATGGTGGTGATGGATGGTGATGGTGGTGGTGGTGGTGATGAGGTGGTGGTGGTGGTGGTGGATAGTGATGGTGGTGGTGATGGTGATGGTGATGGTGGTGGTGATAGTGATGGTGGAGGTGATGGTGGTGGTGGTGATGGTGGTGGTGTAGTGGTGATGGTGGTAATAGTGGTGATGGTAATAGTGATGATAGTGGTGTGTGATGGTGAGGTGATGGTGGTGGTGGTGTGTGGTGGTTGTTACTGATGATGATAGTGGCGATCTACCCAGACCTAACCTAACCTAACCTCTTTACTTAACCTCAACACCTAACCTAACTCAACCTCCGCCACAATAGGAATCCATTAGCGATAAGATAGTGGGTCGCCTGACACACACACATCCGTATTTTTTCACTACTACACCACGAGATGATTATGTGTTTTAGTGTTGATAGCGGGGTAGTGTGGGAAAGGGGTGTAGGGGTGTAGGGAAGGTGGTGTAGGAGGGGTAAGGGTGTAGGTAGGGTGTAGGAAGGGGAGGGGCGTAGGAAAGGGGGTGGGAAGGGGAGGGGTGTAGGAAGGGGAGGGGTGTGGAGAAAGGGGTGTAGGGGAGGGGGTAGGGTGTAGGGGGAAGGGAGGGGGAAAGGGGGGTGGGAAGGGGAGGGGTGTGGGAAGGGGAGGGTGTAGGAAAGGTGGGTGGGGAGGGGGTAAGGGTGTAGGTAGGGGTGTAGGAAGGGGAGGCGTGGAAGGGGTAGGAAGGGGGAGGGGTAGGAAAGGGGTGTAGGTAGGGGTGTAGGAAGGGGAGGGGTGGGAGGGGGGTGTAGGAAAGGGGTGGTGGGGAAGGGGGGAGGGGTGTAGGAATGGGGGTAGGAAAGGGGTAAAGGTGTGGGTTGGGGTGTAGGAAGGGGGGGGTAGGAGGAAAGAGAGAGAATGTAGGAGGGAGGTGGGGGGTGTGGTGGGGAAAGAAGGTGTGGCGGGGGAGGGGGGGGAATGAGCACCTGACGTTACAGTTGAGGAAGTGAAGGTGGTCGAGTATAGTGTCTTTATACCTATAGGAGCCACTGTCACTATTGCAACATTATCTGACGTCATAGTAAACAAGAATTCTGACCCGCATTAACGTGGATTCTGACGTTACTGTAATACCCGCATAGTGGATTCTGACGTCACTATAATACCCGCATTAGCTTGATTTACCCTCATGATTTAATACCCGCATCCACGGAAGCACCAGCAATATCCTAGCACGAGTGGACCATCAAATGACGTCATAGTGGCCAAGTACCAATCACCAGGCGTCATACCCGCATACACGTGGGTTCTGTCAAATCATCCCTGGGAGGAAGCGGCCATTGTTAGAGATTTGCAATTCAAAGTGAGTGTCTGATGTGCTGACTCCTCGTTGATGGTGAGGGTGATTAAGGGTGAGGGAGAGTAGGGAGAGTGAGGAGGGGAGAGAGGGAGGGTGAGTGGAGGGGTGAGAGGGAGAATGGTGAGAGTGAGGGTGATTAACTGTGAGGGAGAGAGGGGAGGGGTGGGTAGAGGTGAGGGAAGGAAGGGGTGGGGGGAGAGGGAGAGAGAGAGAGAGAGAGAGAGAGAGAGAAAGAGAGAATAAAATAATTGGTAATGAAGTAAACTTAATCTTTGAGCAATAATTAATAAATAGACGGTGTGTGTGTGTGTGTGTGTGTGTGTGTGTGTGTGTGTGTGTGTGTGTGTGTGTGTGTGTACATAACCACTGTAATAATAACCAGTTAACACAAATAATTAACAATTAAACACCTGATAAATTGGACAATTACTTTTTAAATTACTGAATAATTTTCTAATTAATAAGAAATTGGCCAAAAAAATATTAATTTATATTCATGAAAAATATTTACAAATAATTAATTGTAATTATTATTTATAAATTGATCGTAATTGGTATATAAGTATCGAAATTGGTAGTTTAAGTAATCGTAATGCTTAATGTTGCATTCTGCGCCATACTGTAAGCTCAGAACCCAATAATGTTGCATCTTGCACCATATTGTTGCTTTCTACGCCATATTGTTGCATTCTTCGCCAAAATATTGACTCAGAACCCCATAATGTTGCATCCCCACGCCATAATATTGCATTCTGCGCCATAATGTTACATTCTGCTCCATAATGTTGCATTCTGCGCCATAATGTTGCATTCTTCACCAAAATATTGACTCAGAACCTCATAATGTTGCATCGGTGCTCCATAATACGTGCCACAAATGCCACTGGCCCGGTATTAAAAGCATTTATTAATGGGTGGCGCAGCGTTCAACATAATGGCGTGTGATGACTACATTATTGTCGTGACAACCTCTATAATGGCGCTCTCACTCACTTTCACTCCTCTCCTTCTCTCTCACTTATTCTCTCACTTTCTTTCTCACTTACTCTCACACCTCTGTCACTCATCTTTCCTCATTCTCCTCACCACTCACCTCACTCTCCCCCTCACTCTCCCTTACTCATCTTCTCCTTCACTTCTCTCTCTCTTTCCATTTCCATTCTCCTCCCTAACTCATCTTTCCCTCTCTCTCTCTCTCTCTCTCTCACACAGTCTCTCTCCCTACAGGGTGATACCAGCCCCGCGGTGGACCCTGGCAGGACAGTGTTACCAGATAAGGTCACGGAATCGGGCACTACAACTCGTGTGCCAGAGGTCAACTTGGCCCTCCCAGGAGTGCCAGTTGAGGTCAGCTTTGAGGTTGAAGGTGAGTGCCACATGGAGGTTGGAAGGAGGAGGGGGTGGGTGAAGGAAGAGGGGAAGGTGAAGGAAGAGGGGGGAGGTGAAGGAAGAGGGGGGGAGGGAAGGGAGGGGGGAGGTGAAGGAAGAGGGGGGAGGTGGAGATGAAGGAAGGGGAGAAAGAGGAGGTGGTGGTGGTGTAGAGGAAGAGTAGGAGGTGGAGGTGAAGGAAGAGGAAGAGGTGGAGGACTGAAGGAAGAGGAAGAGGAGGAGAGAGATTAACGAACGTAGGAGAAACAACAAAGATGAAATAAACGTAAAGATAAAGGAAATATAGACTTATAATCACAACAATGGAACTGATTTGTGCCATGATTGCGACGTTGCCATATACTCACCTATTACCTATTACATATTGTTAATTAACCTGCTAAATACATTATACCTTCCCCTATAATTATATTAAAACTAATTATCTCTTAATGATATATAATTCTAATTTATAGAGATAATTAAGAATATAATACTAGGTTTGTGGTTTGTTTACATAGATGTGGCAACAGTGGAGAGACAGTAAGCAATTTCACTGGTCTCTTTTTGGTTATTTTTGTCTCGTTGTTTACATCAAGTTGAGAGATAAATTGTGGAGGTGGAGACCAGGAGATAAATTGTGGAGGTGGAGAGACTAGGAGATAAATTGTGGAGGTGGAGAGACTAGGAGATAAATTGTGGAGGTGGAGAGACTAGGAGATAAATTGTGGAGGTGGAGAGACTAGGAGATAAATTGTGGAGGTGGAGAGACTAGGAGATAAATTGTGGAGGTGGAGAGACTAGAGATAAATTGTGGAGGAGACTAGGAGATAAATTGTGGAGGTGGAGAGACTAGGAGATAAATTGTGGAGGTGGAGAGACTAGGAGATAAATTGTGGAGGTGGAGAGACTAGGAGATATAGTCAAGTGAGGGGGAGATAATATGTTGGTGAGAGATAGATGGTTAGAGGTAACAGGAGGGGGTGAGAGATAGAGACTGTGAGAGATAAGGTAGAGACTGAGAAATAAGAGAAAGAGAGAGAGAGACAAAGAGACAGCAAGAGAGATCACACGTTATATTTTGGTTGTGGATAACGATGAAAAATCAACGTAATCTGTCGGACTTACACTACGTCGGAGGGTGAGAGGGGGAACGCGAAGCCCGACGGATCTGTTGTCATTATTCCCGACAGCCCGATAGATGGATCTCCTGTCACCTGCCCCGTTTACCGTTGACGATAACAGATCTGTTAACGGGACGAACAGGTGAGCTAATTAGGTTATATTGGATGGTATTTTTTACCTGTTAGTTTAGCATATAGGGGAGAGAGTGAGAGGGAGAGTAAGGGAGAGTAGGGAGAGAGAGGGAGGGAGGGAAAGAGAATCTATCTATCTATCTATCTATCTATCTATTATCTATCTATCTATCTATCTATTTATCTATCTATCTATTTATCCATCACATCCCACAAGACTAGCATAGTTACCCCCTGAAACGACTCCAGACAGACTCATTTTCTCTGGTCACTACGTTTTCTTTCCGTCCCAAATTTACCCCAAACTTTATCAAATTTTAATCTTTTCTTCTTCATCTTATTTTCACTATTTTTCGGTGATACAAATTAGAGAGAGAGAGAGAGAGAGAGAGAGAGAGAGAGAGAGAGAGAGAGAGAGAGAGAGAGAGACTAAAAAAACACATCATAACACAACACAATTACCACAGTTACCCCTTAAAGAAAAACACACAAAGAAAATGGGAAATACCACAAAATCCCGTTAGCATTGGTATCTTGGGCATGAGTGTACCCATTAGGCGATACCCAGAGCCTGACGAAGGAGAACATCTGCCACTGTTAGCAGCCTCACCCCCCACACTCCACACCCCCCACTCCCACAATCCCCCCACTACACCCCAGGGAGATATCTCACACCCCAGGGAGGATTTGTTCTCCTGGTTTATCTCCTCCATTGGCTTTATTTCTCTATCTCTAAATTATCTCTAAAGTATTTCTATCTCTATATTATCTCTCTGTTATCTCTATCTCAAAATTTTGTTTATCTCTAAATTATATCTGTAAATTATCTCTCCATCTCTAAATTATGTCTCTAAATTATCTCTCTCTCTAAATTATCTCTAAGCTATCTCTCTATCTCTCTAAATTATCTCTAAGCTATCTCTCTATCTCTCTAAATTATCTCTAAGCTATCTCTCTATCTCTCTAAATTATCTCTAAGCTATCTCTATCTCTAAATTATCTCTAAGCTATCTCTCTATCTCTAAATTATCTCACAATGACAACAATTATTGGGAAAAATAGTAATTACTCTTTAAATTTTTCATCTAAAATAAATTGACAGAAAAACTCATTAATTTTAGAGGGATTGATTTGGTCCACTTGGTGTTGAGTGGGAATAAATAGGGAATAAATAGGGAATAGGGAAAATTGGGAGTAAATTTGGGAATAAATTTGGGAATAGGGAAAATTGGGAATAAATTTGGGAATAGGGAAAATTGGGAATAAATTTGTGAATAAAGGAAATTGGGATAAATGTGGGAATAGGGGGAATTGAGACTGGAAATGCTGACGACTGCCTGCTGACACTCAACTGATTCTGCTCAGGGAAAAGGGTGAGGGAAGAGGGCAGAGAAGGTGGAGGGAGGGAAGAGGGTAGAGAAGGTGAGGTGTGAGGGAAGAGGGTAGAGAAGGTGAGGTGTGGAGGGAAGAGGGTAGAGAAGGTGGGGGTGGAGGAAGAGGGAGAGAAGGTGAGGGGAGGGAAGAGGGTAGAGAAGGTGGGAGGAGGGAGAGAAGTGAGGTGTGAGGAAGAGGTAGAGAAGGTGGGGGAGGGAAGAGGGTAGAGAAGGTGAGGTGTGAGGGAAGAGGGTAGAGAAGGAGGTGAGAAGAGGGTAGAAGGTGAGGTGAGGGAAGAGGGTAGAGAAGGTGAGGTGAGGAAGAGGGTGAGAAGGGTGAGGTGTGAGGGAAGAGGGTAGAGAAGGGTGAGAGTGGAGGAAGAGGGTAGAGAAGGTGAGGTGTGAGGGAAGAGGGTAGAGAAGGTGGAGGTGTGAGGAAGAGGGTAGAGAAGGTGAGGTGTGAGGGAAGAGGGTAGAGAAGGTGAGGTGGAGGGAAGAGGGTAGAGAAGGTGAGGTGTGAGGGAAGAGGGTAGAGAAGGTGAGGTGGAGGGAAGAGGGTAGAGAAGGTGAGGGGTGTGAGGGGAAGAGGGTAGAGAAGGTGGAGGTGTGAGGGAAGAGGGTAGAGAAGGTGAGGTGGAGGGAAGAGGTAGAGAAGGTGAGGTGGAGGGAAGAGGGTAGAGAAGGTGGGGAGGGAAGAGGGAGAGAAGGTGGAGGTGTGAGGGAAGAGGGCAGAGAAGGTGAGGTGGAGGAAGAGGGTAGAGAAGGAGGGAAGAGGGGAGAAGGTGAGGTGTGGAGGAAGAGGGAGAGAAGGTGAGGTGAGGGAAGAGGGCAGAGAAGGTGAGGTGAGGGAAGAGGGAGAGAAGGTGAGGGAAGAGGGAGGGAGTGGAGGGAAGAGGGTAGAGAAGGTGAGGTGTGGAGGAAGAGGGCAGAGAAGGTGGAGGTGTGAGGGAAGAGGGTAGAGAAGGTGAGGTGGAGGGAAGAGGGTAGAGAAGGTGAGGGGAGTGTGAGGGAAGGGGTGGAAGTGAGGTGGAGGAAAGGAGGTGAGGAAGTGAGGTGTGAGGGAAGAGGGTAGAGAAGGTGGAGGTGAGGGAAGAGGGAGGAGAAGGTGGGGAGGTGAGGGAAGAGGGTAGAGAAGGTGGGAGGTGTGAGGGAAGAGGGTAGAGAAGGTGAGGGTGAGGGAAGAGGGTAGAGAAGGTGAGGTGTGAGGGAAGAGGGTAGAGAAGGTGAGGGGTGGAGGGGAAGAGGGTAGAGAAGGTGGAGGTGTGAGGGAAGAGGGTAGAGAAGGTGAGGTGGGAGGGAAGAGGGCAGAGAAGGTGAGGTGGAGGGAAGAGGGTAGAGAAGGTGAGGTGTGGAGGGAAGAGGGTAGAGAAGGTGAGGGAGGGAAGAGGGTAGAGAAGGAGGTGGAGGGAAGAGGGTAGAGAAGGTGAGGTGGAGGGAAGAGGGTAGAAGGTGAGGTGAGGAAGAGGGTGAGAAGGTGAGGGGAGGGAAGAGGGCAGAGAAGGTGAGGTGAGGGAAGAGGGTAGAGAAGGTGAGGGGAGGGAAGAGGGTAGAGAAGGTGGAGGTGGGAGGGAAGAGGGTAGAGAAGGTGAGGTGTGAGGGAAGAGGGTAGAGAAGGTGAGGTGTGGAGGGAAGAGGGCAGAGAAGTGAGGTGTGGAGGGAAGAGGCAGAGAAGGTGAGGTGGGGAGGGGAGGTGTGAGGGAAGAGGGTAGAGAAGGTGAGGGGTGAGGGAAGAGGTAGAGAAGGTGAGGAAGAGGGTAGAGAAGGTGAGGTGGGAGGGAAGAGGGTAGAGAAGGTGAGGTGGAGGGAAGAGGGTAGAGAAGGTGAGGTGTGAGGGAAGAGGGTAGAGAAGGTGAGGTGTGAGGGAAGAGGGTAGAAGGTGAGGTGTGAGGGAAGAGGGTAGAGAAGGTGAGGTGAGGAAGAGGGTAGAGAAGGTGAGGTGTGAGGGAAGAGGGTAGAGAAGGTGAGGTGGAGGAAGAGGGTAGAGAAGGTGAGGTGTGTGGAGGGAAGAGGGTAGAGAAGGTGGGGAGGTGTGAGGGAAGTGGAGGTGTGAGGAAGTGAGGTGTGAGGAAGAGGGTAGAGAAGGTGAGGTGTGGTTTCTACGTAACAAAAAAAAATGGTTTTTACGTAAAAAGCGAATAATTGGTTTCTACATAAAAACAATTAATTGTTTCTACATAAAAAACAAATAATTGTCTAAATAACAACAAAATTGGTCTCAATCTCAGTCCAAAAAAAATAACTTGGTTTCTAAATACAGGATAAAAGAGACCTGGTTTCTAACTGTGGACATAGAAAACGAAATGGTTCTCTGACAAACTCCTTGGCAAAACGGAACCACTAAATCTCGTCCGTGTGAGGAAGTTCCCGAG